TAAAGACTTAAACATAAGACCTAACACCATAAAAACCATAGAAGAAAACCTAGGCAAAGCCATTCAGGACATAGGCATAGGCAAGGACTTCATGACTAAAACACCAAAAGTCAAAATAGATAAATGGGATCTAATTAAACTCCAGAACTTCTGTACAGTAAAAGAAACAATCATTAGAGTGAACTGGCAACCAACAGAATGGGAAAAAATTTTTGCAATCTACCCATCTGACAAAGGGCTAATATCCAGAATCTACAAAGAACTAAAACATATTTACAAGAAAAAGTACAAACCCATTCAAAAGTGGACAAAGGATATGAACAGACGCTTTTCAAAAGAAGAGAAATATGAGGCCAACAAACATATGAAAAAATGCTCATCATCACTGGTCATTAGAGAAATGAAAATCAAAACCACATTGAGATACCATCTCATGCCAGTTAGAATGGCACAAAGACCTGGAACCAACCCAGATGCCAATCTATGATAGACTGGGTGAGGAAAATGTGACACATATACAACATGGAATACTATGCAGCCATAAAAAATGATGAGTTTGTGTCCTTTGTAGGAACATGGATGAATTTGGAAACCATCATTCTCAGCAAACTGACACAAGAACAGAAAATCAAACACTGCATGTTTTCACTCATAGGCAGATGTTAAACAATGAGAACACATGAACACAGGGAGGGGAGCATCACACACTGGGGTCTGTTGGCGGGGGCTAGGGGAGGGACAGCAGTGCCTAGGGAGGTTGGGGAAAGATAACATGGAGAGAAATGCCAGATATAGGTGACAGCGGAATGGAGGCAGAAAACCACATTGCCATGTATGTACCTATGCAAAGATCCTCCATGATTTCCACATGTACCCCAGAACCCAATTTATATATATATATATATATATAGAGAGAGAGAGAGATAGATAGATATATCTATATCTATCTATCTATTTCTATCTATCTATCTATCTATCTATCTATCTATCTATCTATCTATCTATACACATGCTGTGTGATCACTGGGTTATGTTGGGGGTGGGGGACTAGGGGAAGGACAGCTGGGGGCAGGAAGATTGGGGTGGGATAACACTGGGAGAAATGCCTGATGTAGGTGATGTGTGGATGGAGAGAGCAAACCACCATGGCATGTGTGTACCTATGCAACAATCCTGCAAAATCTGCACTTGTACCCCAGAACTTAAAGTACAGTAAAAAGAAAAGAAAAGGCCGGGCGCGGTGGCTCAAGCCTGTAATCCCAGCACTTTGGGAGGCCGAGGCGGGTGGATCACGAGGTCAAGAGATGGAGACCATCCTGGTCAACACGGTGAAACCCCGTCTCTACTAAAAATACAAAAAATTAGCTGGGCATGGTGGTGCATGCCTGTAATCCCAGCTACTCAGGAGGCTGAGGCAGGAGAATTGCCTGAACCCAGGAGGCGGAGGTTGCGGTGAGCCGAGATCGCGCCATTGCACTCCAGCCTGGGTAACAAGAGCGAAACTCCGTCTCAAAAAAAAAAAAAAAAAGAAAAGAAAAGAAAGAAAGAAAGAGAAAGAAAGAAAGAAAGAAGGGAAGGAAGGAATAAATAAATAAATAAATAACATGGACTTCTCTGTAAAACACAAACAAAAAAGCTGTGTGATGCTAATCGTCTCCACAAGAGCAGTTCATCTCTGTAGTAAACTGCATATCACAGTAAGAAGTGATCTCTCATAATTCTCACATATTTTTCAGTGTATTTAGCGCAATACCATTAACCTTAAACACCATGGGATCCATACAAAGTGCCACTAGTGATGTTGGATGTGCTCCCAAGAAGCAAAGTCATGACGTTACAAGGAAATGTTTAATTACTTGATGTGTACCATAGACTGAGGTGTGCGACTGTAGCTGTCCACCATTTCAAGATAAATAAACCCAGTTAAGGATCATTGTAAATAAAGAAAATTCAGGATTTCTATATTGAAAATGCAGTTTTTATATGGGTACAGGATTGCTATACAAAAGGCATACCTATAGATTCTAATATGATTTGGAAAAATTGAAGTGATTATATGACAACATAAAGGGATCAAAAGGTGAAGGATTTAAAGCTGGAAAATTTAATGCCAGAAAAGGATGGTTTGAGAAGTTTAGAAAGAGGTTTAGCATTAAAAATATTAAGAGAAGCAGCTTCTGCTGACCAAGAGGCAGCAGATAATTTCTCAGGTACCATTAAGAAAATCACTGAGGAGAAAATCTATCTACATGAACAGGGTTTTAATGTAAATAAATGTGCCCCATACTGGAAAAAAAATTCCATGAAGGATGTCCATTAGTCAAGAAGAGAAGTGAATACCAAGATTTAAGGCAAGAATGGATAGGCTAACGCTACTGCTTTGTGCAAATATAGTCAGCTTTATGATCAGGACTTCCCTTATCTATAAAGATGCTAATCCCTGAGGTTTGAAGGGAAATGTTAAACAACAGTTGTCAGTATTTTGGTTGTATAACAAAGCCTGGACAACAAGAAACCTTTTTCTGGATTGGTTTCATCTATGCTTTGTCCCTACAGTCAGAAAGTACCTTGCCAGTAAGAGACCGACTTTTAAAGTTCTTTTGATATTGGACAATGTCCCTGGCCACCCGGAAACTTATGAGTTCAACACCAAAGGCATTTAAGTGGTTTACTTGCCCCCAAATACAATGTCTCTAATTCAGTCCCTAGATCAGAGGGTCATAAGAGACTTTAAGGCTCATTACACCCAGTACTCTATAGAAGGAATTGTCAATGCTAAGAAAGAGAACCCTGATAAAGAGAACACCATGAAATCCTGGAAGGATTACACCATTAAAAAATTCCTCCATTTATATCAACAAAAAGAAATTAGGCTTTTTTGACATTACTTATTCTTAGGAACCTCAGTCAGTTGCCCAATACACTGTCCCCTAAATGCTAACATTATCTAATACTTTCAAGGGTTGTTGTCCAACTTCTCAGAACTTACTCTTTAAAATATATGTTTGCCAATTCCCCAACCTTTTGGCACCTCTTGTTTTCTGTAGTTACCCTAATTCCTGACAGTGACTATACTCAGGAATACATTGATCCTAGGTATATGAGCTTATTGAAATAGGTTCAGAGTTTCTTAAGCATTTTTTTTTAACCTAAGCTAATACAAGTTCAGTATCCCAAATTCAAAAAGCCAAAATCTGAAACTTTTTGAGCACTGACATGATACTCAAAGGAAATGCTCACTAGAGAATTTTGGATTTTGGATTTGGGGATTAAGGATGCTCAACTGGTAGGTATGTAATGCAAATATTAAAAAAAAAAATCGGAAACACTTCTGGTCCCAAGCATTTCAGATAAGGAATACTCAATCTATACATTCTTCAAAATGAAATGCATTTCGATGCAAAAAATAAGATGCCATCATTGTTATAGAAAAATGCATAAAAGTCATCAAGCCCCAAACAATAAATTTCTGTTGGAGAAAGCTGTGTTCAGAAGTTGCAAATGACTTCATAGATTTATGACAGAGCCAATCAAGTTAATCATGAAATAGATTGCATATATGGTAAAAACAGGTGGAAGGATGAAAAGTTTCAAGATAGGGATCGTGGAAAAATCCAAGAGCTAACAGACACACCACAGGAATTTTAAAATGATGACTTCATGGAGATGAGTGCTTCCAAACCAGTGCCAGATGATGAGGAAGAAGAGGTAGATGAAGCAGCATCAGAAAAGAAATTGACACTAGACAATACAGAAAAAAGATTCTGATTATTCAAACCTGTTTTTTCACTTCTTTCACAACATGGACTTTTCTATGATATGGGCACTGAAACTAAAGCCAATGGTGGAAGAATTGGTACCATATAGGAACATTTTTTAGAGAAATGATGAAGCAAAAAATACAGAAATTATCATGTTTTTCTGTAGTTACAATGAGTGTTCCTGCCTCTCCTGCCTCCCGTTCCACCTCCTCCACCCCTTCCACCTATTCCACTCCTGAGACAGTGAGGTCAACCCCTCCTAGTCCTCCTTCTCAGCCTACTCATCTTTACATAAGAATACAGCATATAATATGTATAACATAAAAAGTATGTGTTAATTGTTTATGTTATCAGTGAGGCTTCTGGTCAATAGTATGCTATCAGTAGTTAAGTTGGAGGAAATAAAAAATTATACATGGATTTTTGACTGTGTAAGAGTCAGAAGCCCTAACCTCCACATTGTTCGAGGGTTGACTGTATTTCCACATATACAAACTCTTCCTGAGAACAAATAAAGAGAAAACACTCCCATATTCATGTTTAAGGCAAGTATAATCTTTACATCAAAATCAAACCAAGACAACACACTTATAGATCAATCTCACTCACAAACATGCTTGCCAAGAACACAAAATATATTAGCAGGGCAAATCCAAGAAAAAATTAAAGACATGAATCATCATGTTCAAGTCAGATTAATTCTAGGAATACAAGATTGCTTGAATTTTAGAAAATGTATTATAGAATTCGACAAATTAATAGGTGCAGACGCAAAATACATTCACTTCAATATATTCAGAAAAAAATTAGATAACGTATCCATTCACAATATTTTAAAAGTCTCTCAGTAAATTAGGCATAGAATGGAATGTCCTTAGCCTGTTAACAGGTACAAAAACATAAACATACTTAACAAAATATTAAAAGCATTTCCATTTATATATTGGTAGTGAGACAAAAATTGACACAACCATGTTGAAAATGAGTTTGACATTTTTTATCTAGTAGAGTTGCAGACATGCATATACTTTATCCTAGAGTAGTAGTTTTCAACAGGCATCTTGCCACATCTAGGAAGTGTGTTGGAAATGTGTATGGGATAGGTTGGTTATCACAAAGATTGGAGAGGCATTATTGACATTTAGTGGCATCAGAGATATTAGGCATCCTGAAATGTTCAGGACAGTCCCAGGCAATGTAGAATCCTGCCTAAACTTTTTAATATTAACCTTGACATGCCTACAAATAAAAAACCTGTTTATAATTACCAAAGGCCAGAACCTATCTCCTTTGGTTACATATAAACATAGTATTTTTGCATAAATTTACTATAGACTGAATTTTCTAGGAGTAAATCTACCAAGTAAATTGAGAAAAGAGTATATTTTCTTTTGTTCAGAAATTTATCCAAAATTATTGTTTTAGAAAATCATGTCACCAATGATAATTACACTTTGTGGTATTATATTTGTAGCTGTCACATTCATGGTGATCAATGTATAGGTGTAAATATTTGGCTACTCTAGGTAGTCATGTTTCAGCATTTACATATTTAAATACATTATTTTATTATAAATCACTTGCATTTAATTTTTCCTTTAAATTCTAGTTAAGACATTGTGCTCATATTTTAAACATGTGTATAGGTAGGTTATGCTATCTATGAATTTCACTTTTGGCTAATAAAAGAAATTGGTACAAAATATTTGTTACAAAAAGGGAATTGTTAGTCTTTCAAGACGGCTGACTAGAAGTGCAAGGCACTTGACTCCTCCACAAAGAAGAACTAAAATAGTGAGTAGATAATCAAATTCCAAATAGAACATCTAAAATAGAATTCTGGAATTCAGCAGACAAGTAAAAGAAAACAGTTGAGGCAACAAGGAAGCAGAAGGTAAGGTGGACAGCCTGGCCAGGATCAGCTGGGAGCTCAGAGAAGCTCCCTAGTGTGAGGAAAGGGAAAGTGATAAATCCCCAGTGGTCCACATTCTCTTTGTAGATTCCTGTAAGCCTGGCCACAGGAGAGTTCCTCACTCCCAGTGGATCCAGAGACCAGTATAGGGATCTCCGTGGAGTTTGCAGGACAGCAGTGCTCCAGGGAAAGAGCTCATGCTGGTTCTCACATACTCCCTGAGTCCCAAGCAGCTATAGCATGGCATCATTTTGAGAGCTCAGCCCTCACCAGACTGCATCCTGCCCTGAGGCCCAACAGTCTCTGTATCTCCACATCCCTGAAGCCAACTGGGGAGGCTGTCCACAGGACAAAGGGAGCTGAAGTACACACTTCCCAGAGCCTAAAACCCACATGCCTGGGGCTGGTCCCACTGACAGCAAGCCCCCACTCCCTCATGAGCAGGGCAACTGCACACTTACACGCACCCTAACAACAGGCTCTCCTTGCCAGCCACCACAGCCATTGCTGTCAACAGAGTGGAAGTATTAATGTTGTTAAAGTAATCATTCTACCCAAAGCAATCTACAGATTCAATACAATCTCTATCAAAATACTGATGACTTTTTTCATAGACATAGAAAAACAATCCTAAATTTGTATGAAACTGCACAAAAAAAGAGCCTGAATAGCCAAAGGAATTCTGAGCAACAAAAACAAAGTGCAAGCCATCATGCTACCTGACTTCCAAATATATTACAAGGCTATTGGTAACCAAAACAGTATGTTATTGATATTAAAACGGATACACGGACCAATTGAATAGAATAGAAGATCCAGAAAGAACCCATGTATTTACAGCCAACTAATTTTTGACAAAGTGCCAAGAACTTACTTTGGGGAAAATACATCCTCTTCAATAAATGGTTCTGGGAAAAAATAACCATACGCAGAAGAATGAAACTAGACTCCTGTCACCATGTACAAAGAATCAACTCAAAATAAAGACTTAAATGCAAGAGTTGAAACTATAAAACTGCTAGAAGTTTTTCTCTAAACTTAGAGAAAACATTTCAGGACATTGGTCTAGGCAAATATTTTATGACTAAGACCTCAAAAGCACAGACAACAAAAACACAAATAGACAAATGGGACTATATTAAGCTAAAAATCTTCTCCTCCACAAATAAAACATTTAACAGAATGAGAAGACAACCTGTCGAATGGGAGAAAATATTTGCAAAGCATTCATCTGATAAGGGACTAGTATCTAGAATATATAAGGAACTCATGCAAGTCTACAGCAAAATCAAAAAATAAAACTCAAACAATTTCACTAAAAGTGGGCAAAGGATCTGAATAGACATTTCTCAAACGAAAACATACAAATGGTTGACAGGTATATGAAAAATGCTCAACATCACTAATTAGTAGGGGAATGTAAATCAAAACCACAATGAAATATCACTTCACTCCAGTTAGAATGGCTATTATCAGAAAGACAAAAAATAACATGCTGGTAAAGATGTAGAGAAAAGGGAGCTCATACATTGTTGGTGGGAATGTAAAATTATTATAACCATTATGGAAAAAAATAAGATTCCTCAAAAAACTAAAAGTAAAACTACCATACAATCCAGAAATCCCACTATGTGGTATTTACCCAAAAGAAAGGAAATCAGTATAGTAAAGGCATACTTGTACTTCCATGTTTATGGCAGCACTATCCACAATAGCCAAGATATGGAATCAGTCTAAGTGTCCATCAATGGATAAATGGATTAAAAACTGTGATATATTGGCCCCGCCCCCAGCAGGGCGATGTGGCGACGAGTGAGGGTCACGGGGTATGAGCGCCCCTGAGCCTTCGATCCCGGCTGCGGTGCAGTCCATGCGGCTGGGGGCAGAGGCCAGAAACCGGCGCCACCGCCAAGGTCTAGGAGGCGATTGGCCGCCTACTGGCCATGGCTGAGGCCTGGGCGGCGGCCGGGGAGCCGAGGGGGAGGCCGCTGCCGCGGAGCTGAGAAGATGCTGCTGTCCCTGGTGCTCCACACGTACTCCATGTGCTATCTGCTGCCCATCATCATGCTCCTGGGCACAGCGCCCACCTACGTGCTGGCCTGGGGGGTCTGGTGGCTGCTCTCCGCCTTCCTGCCCTTCCACTTCTGCAAGGCGTGCTGGACGATCAGCTCTACTGCATTTACCAGAGCATGGTGCTCTTCTTCTTCGAGAATTACACAGGGGTCCACATATTGCTATATGGAGATTTGCCAAAAAATAAAGAAAATATAATATATTAAGCAAATCATCGAAGCACAGTTGACTGGATTGTTGCTGACATCTTGGCCATCAGGCTTGGACATGTGTGCTACATGCTGAAAGGTGGGTTAAAATGGCTGCCATTGTATGGGTGTTATTTTTCTCAGCATAGAGGAATCTATGCAAAGTGAAGTGCCAAATTTAATGAGAAAGAGATGAGAAACAAGCTGCAGAGCTACGTGAACACAGGAACTCCAATGTATCTTGTGATTTTTTCCAGAAGGTACAAGGTATAATCCGGAACAAACAAAAGTCATTTCAGCTAGTCAGGCGGCATTTGCTGCCCAATGTAGCCTTGCAGTATTGAAATATGTGCTAACACCACGAATAAAGGCAACTCACGTTTCTTTTGATTGCACGAAGAATTATTTAGATGCAATTTATGATGTTATGGTGGTTTATGAAAGGCAGAACGATGGAGGGCAGCAAGAGGCACCGAGTATGATGGAATTTCTCTGCAAAGAATGTCCAAAAATTCATATTCACATTGATCATATGGACAAAAAAGATGTCCTGGAAGAACAACGACATATAAGAAGATGGCTGCATGAATGTTTTGAAATCAAAGATAAGATACTTATAGAATTTTATGAGTCACCAGATCCAGAAAGAAGAAGCAGATTTTCTTGGAAAACTTTTAATTCCAAATTAAATATCAAGAAGACTTTACCATCAATTTTGCTCTTAAAGTGTTTTGACTATAGGCATACTTATGACCAAGGCTGGAAGGAAGCTGTATGTGAACACATGGATATATGGAACCCTACTTTGCTGCCTGTGTGTTACTATTAAACCATAAACAAGTAGCTGTCTCCAGACAGTGGGATGTGCTACATTGCCTATTTTTGGCAGCTGCACGTGACATCAAATTGTTTCCTGGAAATAAAATGAAAACTACATAAAACAATACTTTAAAAACTGTACTGTTGGGCTTATAACATATTAAGATGTAAAATATATTGCATTAATAGCACAAGGGATGGGTGGAGAAAACTTCCCTGTGTTGCTGAAATTCAATTATTATTAATCTAAAGTAGGTTATTTCAAGTTAACATACATATTGTAATCCCCAGAGCAATCAACAAAACATCAAAAAAGGATTTAAATGGTGCACAATACATTAGCTATATAACATAAAAGAAAGTAATAAAGGAGAAACAGAGGAAAAAGAAGTCAAGAAACATTAATGAAATAAATGAATAAAGTCAGATGTACATGTATAAGTATAAATGGGTTAAACGGTCCAATCAAAACAAAACATCGTGAGACTGGATGAAAAACACACTTGAAGGCTATGCCATCTACAATAATGGAAAGACACACTTTAAATGTAAAGACATAAATAGGTTAAAAGAATAAAATAATTTAAAAAATTGTATAAAACGAAGAGCAACCATAAGAGAGCTGGAGTAGCTAGACTGATACATGATATCAGACAAAATAGACTTTAAGAAAAAAAGGTTATAGAGAAAGGAGGGCATTTTATAATGATAAAAGGGTCTATTCATCAGGAAGATATAATTATAAACATATACACATCTGACAACCAAATTCTCTGCAACTAATTCTATGAGGCTGGTCTCTGATATCAAACAAGACAAATACATTATAAGAAAAGAAACCTACAATTCAACATCCCTTATGAATACAGATGCAAAAATCCTTAACAAAATGTTAGAAAATCAAATCCACCAATATTTCAAGAAGGATTATACACCATGACCAAGAGAGATTTATTCCAGGAAGGCAAGTTTTGTTTAACACCCCCAAATTAAGGTAATACCCTATGTTACATTAGTTAATAATGTGTTGTGTAGAATAAAGGTTAAAAACCCCACATGATCATTTCAATAGATGCAGATAAACCATCTGACAAAATCTAACATTCATTCATGATCAAAAATAAAAATTCAACCAACTTGTAAAACTTCCTTAACCTGACAATTAACATCTATGAAAAATGCACAGCTAACATTATATTTAATGATGAAGGATTGAATATTTCCCCTAAGATCAGAAAAAAAACCAAGATGTTCACTCCCATCATTCCTATTCAACATTATACTGGAGACACTAGCCAGGGGAATTAGGCAAAGAAAAGAAGTAAAAGGTAACCAGACTGGGGCAAAAAAAGAAGTAAAACTCTCCTTGACATAACCTTGAATGAGAAAACCCTAAAGAATATACACACACACTCATATGCACACATACAAATGCTCATGCACACACAATATTAAAACTAATAATTCTACTCAGCAAAGTCACAATATACAAAATCAATATGTACAAAGGCAATTTGTATTTCTATATACTTGCAAAAAATCATAAAGTGATATTATAAAAATAATTCACAATAGTACCAAGAAATAAAATACTTGGGAATAAATAACAAAAAGAGTAAAAGATTTTTACACTGAAAACTACAAGACATCACTTAGGAAAATTAAAGAAGAACTGAATAAATGAAAAGGCATTTCAAGTTCATTGATTAAAAAATCCAATACTGTTAGTTGGCCGTTATCCCCAAACTGATGTATAGATTCAGTGCAATCTCTACTGAAATCAAAGCAGAGGTTGGGCATGATGGTTCATGCCTATAATCTCAGTACTTTGGGAGGCCAAGGCAGGAGGATGGCTTAAGCCTAAGAGTTTGAGACCAATCTTGGCAAAATAGGGAGGCCACATCTCTATAAACATATTGTTAAAATAGACAGGCATAGTGGTGCACACCTGTAGTCCCAGATACTCAGGAGGCTGAGGTGGGAGAATCACTTGAGCCTGAGAGGTTGAGGCTTCAATGAGCTGTGATTGTGTCATTGCACTCCAGCCTGAGCAACAGAGCAAGATCAAGACCCTGTCTCAAAAAAAAAAAAAAAAAAAGTTTTGACAAAATGATCCTAATATTTATATGGAAATCAAAAGAACCCAGAGTACCTAAAACAATGTTGAAAAAGAAGAACAAAATTTGAGGTTTCATACTTCTGAATTTAAATACATATTACAATGCCACAATAGTCAAGACAGTAGGAACTGGCATATGACTAGAAATATAAACTAATGGAACGCAATTGAGAATTCAGATATAAACCCTTATATTTATGGTTAATTGGTTTTCAAAAAAGGTTCCAAGGCAATTCAACAGAAAAAGATTAGTTTTTCAACAAACGATGATAGTACAATTGGATATCCATATGTAAAAAGACTAATGAAGAACTTTACCTCACACTATACACAAAATAACTCGGAATGAATCAGAGACATAAATGAAACAGGTAAAACTATAAAACTTTTAGAAGAAAACATAGGGGAAAACCTTCATGATATTGGGTTAGGCAAAGAATTCTTAGATATAACACCAAAAAACACAACTGACCAAAGAAAAAAATAACTTGGACTTTATCAAAAATAAAGAACTGAGAGCCCCTCTGCCACTGCCATTGCAGCAGTTCTGTCCTTGCTGCCCTCAGACTAGGGAAGGGAAAAAGAACCTGAGGGATTTACTTGCACCTCCAACATGCCACAGTTGCCATACAGAGTAGAGCCAAGTCTCTCATCTCTGTGAGCCTCCAACCCCCTGGTCTTCACCAAGCAGGGTCCCAGCTTGGGCCTACAGAACAGCTACCCTACCTCCTGACTAAACATTCCCATTGTCAGTGGCTCTGTGTTGCTGTGTGGTGGAGCTCCCAGAGGCAACTGAAATGCTCTCTGAGGCTGCCACTGCAGTGCTACTGCCCTTGCTGCCCTTGGATTGGGGAAGGAACAAAGACCCTGAGTGCTGTACTCATACCTCCATCATGCCACAGCCAATCTAAGGAGAAGAGGCTAGTCTGTCTTTTCTGTAAGGCCCCTTCTCCCCCTCCTCATTCATCACCAGGCAGGGCCCTCTGGCTCGGGCCACAATGTAGCCACCCCACCCCAGGATGCATGTTCCAATTGATAGTAGATCTTCATTTCTCTGGAGTGGAGACCCAAAAGACAAGTGAAAGGCCCTCTGCAATTGTCACTGCCAAGGTGCCTGCCCCTTCTGCTCCGAAGCCGGGGAGGGAACACAAAGCCTGAGCTCACCCCAAAGCTGCATGTGAAGCCCAGGAGTGTCAAGCCAAGCTCTGCAGCCAGTACTCAAGTGGGAGAGGAGACCACACTCTCAGAGCACTAAGAGGGGGCATGGCTGCAAACACAAGGAAATAGAGGAGTCACATGGCTGAGCAAGAGCCTATGTATTGGCCATTACACTTAAGCACCATCTAGTGTATCAGAGCCCCAATTTTTTTTTTTACTTAGCTAATATATCCTTCTGTGAAACCAAGGACAAGAATTCAGCTACAAATAAAGACCTAGCACAAAGCACCAGCACTTTGACAATGTGCAGAAATTAGGTCAACTGACTATACTCAAATTATACCACAGCTAAAGAAACATTAGCTCACACAGAGGAGAAAGAACCAGCCCAAGAACGCTAGCAACTCAGGAAGCCAGAGTGTCTTTTTTCCTCTAAACAACTACACTAGTTCCCAAGCAAGGATTCTTAACCAGGCTGAAATGGCTAAAATAGCAGATATAGAATTCAGAATATGAATAGGAGGGTAAGATCATTTGAGATTCATGAGAAAGTGGAAACTGAATCCAAGGAATCTAAGGATTACAATGTAACAATAGAGTTGAAAGATGAAATGGCCATTTTAAGAAAGAACCAAACTAATGTGATAGAGCTGAAAAACATACTATTATCCATGAAAATTTCCCAAACCTCGCTACAAAGGCCAACATCCAAATTCAGGAAATTCAGAGAACAGCTGCAAGTACTATATAAGAAGACCATTCCCAAGACACATAGTGGTCAGATTCTCCACCAGGCTAACAGCAGAACTTTCAGCAGAAATCCTGCAAGTCAGGAGAGATTGGGGGCCTAGATTCAGCATTCTTAAAGAAAAGAAACTTCAACCAAGAATTTCATATCCAGCCAAACTAAGCTTCATAAGTAAAGAAGAAATAAGATCTTTTTTAGACAAGCAAATGCTAAGGGAATTCATTACCATCAGACCTGCCTCACAAGAGTTCCTTAAGGGAGTGCTAAATATGGAAAAAATAGACCATTACTGGCCACCACAAAAACACACTTATATACATAGACCACTGACACTATAAAACAACCACACAATCAAGTATACGTAATAACTAGCTAACAACACAATGTCAGGATCAAATCTGTGTGTATCAATATTAACCTTAAGTGTAAATGGGCTAAATGCCAAAATTAAAAGGTACCAAGTGGCAAATTGGATAAAGAAGCAAGACCCAGTGGTATGCTGTCTTTAGGATTCCCATTCACATATAATGACACCCATAGGCTCAAAGTAAATGGATGAAGAAAAACCTACAAAGCAAACAAAGAACAAAAAAGCAGGGATTACTATTTTAATTTCAGACAAAGCAGACATTAAACCAAAAATGGTGAAGAAAGACAAAGAAGGACATTACAAATGGTAAAGAGTCAACAAGAAGACTTAACTATCCTAAATACATATGCACCCAACACAGGAGCACCCAGATTCATAAAACCAGCTTTCAGAGACCTATGAAGAAACTTAGATAACTATACAATAATACTGGGAGATTTCAACACCTCACTGACAGTATTAGGCAGATCCTCAAAGCAGAAAACTAACAAAGATATTTGGGACCTGAACTCAACATTTGATCAAGTGGAGCTAACAGACATCTACACAACAATCCACCCCAAAACAACAGACTATACATTCTTCTCATCTGCACATAGTACATACTCTAAAACCGACCACACAGTCAGCCATAAGACAATTCTCAGCAAATTAAAAATTTTAAAAACCAACAACAAAAATCATACCAGCCATATTCTCAGACCACAGTGCAATAAAAATAGAAATCCATCCCAAAAAGATCACTCAAAACTATAAAATTACACGGAAATTAAACAACCTGCTACCAAATGACTTTCAAGTAAACAATGCAGACATCAATATTCTTGGAAACTAATGAGAACAAAGACACAACATATCAGAATCTCTGAGACACAGCTAAAACAGTGTTGAGAGGAAAGATTATAGCATTCAATGACAGAAAAAATCAATGAAATCAATGAGGCTGCTTCCTTTAAAGAATAAAGACAGATGGACTGATAGCTAGACTAACAAAAAAAAAAGAGAGAAGACACAAATAAAAACAGAAACGATAAAGGGAACATCTTCACCGACCCCACAGAAATGCAAAAAAAATATCCATCAGAGACAATTATGAACATCTTTATATATACAAACTAGAAAACCTACAATAAACGGATAAATTCCTGGAGACATACAACCTCCACTGAACCAGGAAAAAATGCAAACCCTGAGTAGACCAATAATGAGTTCCAAAACTGAATCAGTAATGAAAAGCCTACCAACCAGAAGAAAAAAAAAAAAAAAAAAAAACCACAGGTCCAGAAGGATTCATAGCTGAATTCTATCAGATATATAAAGAAGAGCTGGTACTATTCCTATTGAAACTATTCCAAAAAATTGAGGAGGGTCTCCTCCCTAACTCATTCTTTGAGGCCAGTAACATGCTGATACCAAAACCTGGCAAGGATCAACAAAAAAAGGAAAACTTCAGGCCAATATCCTTGAAGAATGTAGCATGTCAAAAAGCTCACCAAGATTAAGTAGGCTTTATCCCTGGGATGCAAGGTTGGTTCAATGTATGCAAATCAATGAATGTTATTGATCACATAACCAAAACTAAAAACAAAAACCACATGTTCATTTCAATAGATGCAGAAAAGGCTTTTGATAAATTTCAGCATCCATTCATGTTAAAAACCCTCAACAAACTAGGCACTGAAGGAACATACCTCAAAATAATAAGAGCTATCTATGACAAACCCAGACCCAACATATACTGGATGAGCAAAAGCTGGAAGCATTTTCCTTGAGGACTGGAACAAGATGAGGATGCCCACTCTCAACACACTACTGAAAGTCTGGGAGAGAACAATCAGGCAAAAGAAAGAAATAAAAGGCATCCAAATAGGAAGAAAGGAAGTCAAACTATCTCTGTTTACAGACAATATGATTTTATACATAGAAAGCCTCATAGTCTCTGACAAAAACCTCCAAGGTCATATCAACAACTTCAGCAAAGTTTCAGGATACAAAGTCAATGTACAAAAATCAGTAGCATTTCTATACATCAATAGCGTCCAAGCTGAGGACCAAATAAAGAATGCAATCCCATTCACAATAGCCACAAAGAGAATAAAATACCTGGTAATACAGCTAACCAGGGAGACAAAAGATATCTGCAATGAGAATTAAAAAACACTGCTGAAAGAAATCAGAGATGATACAAACAAATGAAAAATCATTCCATACTTGTGGGTAGGAAGAATCTATATTGTTAAAATAGCCATACGGCTTAAAGCATTTTATAGATTCAATCCTATTCTTATCAAACTACCAATGACATTCTTCATATAATTAAAAAAAGTATTCTAAAATTCATATGGAACCAAAAAAGAGCCCAAATAGCCAAAGCAATCTTAAGCAAAAATACAAATCTGGAAGCATCACATTACTTGACTTCAAACTATACAAGGCTACAGTAACCAAAAGAGCATGGTACTGGTACAAAAAACAGATATATACACCAATGGAACAAAATGAAAAACCCAGAAATTAAGTCATGCGCCTACAGCCATCTGATCTTTGACACTGACGAAAGCAAGCAATGGGGAAAATACTCCCTAGTCAATAAATGGTGCTAGGACTGCTGGTTAGTTGTGAGCAGAAGACAGAAACCAGACTCCTTCTTTACACCATATACAAAAATCAACCCAAAATGGATTAGAATTAAATGTAACAACTAAAACCATAAAAGCCCTCAAAGAAGACCTAGGCAATACCATTGTAGACATGGGCCCTGTCAAAGATTTCATGATGAAGACATCAAAAGCAATGGCAACAACAATAAAAATTGATAAATGGCACCTAGTTAAACTGAAGAGCCTCTGTATGGCAAAAGAAATTATCAATAAAATAAATAGACAACCCACAGAATGGGAAAAATATTTGCAAATTAGGCATCTGACAAAGTTCTAATATCTAGAATCTATAAGGCCCTTAAACAAATTAACAAAAACCAAACAATCTCATTAAAAAGTGGGCAAAGGATATGAACAGATACTTTTCAAAAGAAGTCATACATGTGGTCAAAAAGCATATGAAAAAATGCTCAACATCACTAATCATTAGAGAAATTTAGTGAAAACCACAATGAGATACCATCTTACACCAGTCAGAATGGCTATTATTAAAAAGTAAAAAATAACAGATGCTGGCAATGTTACAGAGAAAAGGGAACACTTACACACTGCTGGTGGGAATGTCAATTAGTTCAGCCATTGTGGGAAGTAGTTTGACAATCCCTCAAAGAACTTAAGACAGAACTACCATTTGACCCAGCCATCCATTATTGGGCATATACCCAAAGAAATATAAATTGTTCTACCATAAAGACACATGAATGCATATGTTCCTCACAGCATTATTCACAATAGCAATGCCATGGAGTCAAATGCCCATGAATGGTATATGGGATAAAGAAAATGTGGTATATATACACCACAGAATACTATGCAGCCATAAAAAAAATGAGATTATATCCTTGGCAGCAGCAACATGGATGGAGCTGGAGGCCATTATTCTAAGCAAACTAACACAGGAACAAAAACCTAACACCACATGTTCTTATTTATAAATGGGAGCTAATATTGAGTACACATGGACACAAAGAAGGGAAGAATAGACATTGGGGCCTACTTGAGGATGGAGTTTGGGAGGAGGGTGAGGATCAAAAACTACCTGTTGGGTACTATGCTTATTGCCTGTGTGATGAAACAATATGTACACCACACCCCTGTGACACACAATTTATCGATAGAACCAACCTGCCCCTGTACCTCTGAAACTGAAATAAAAGTAAAAAAAATCAAAGCCTTTGCCCTTCAACATATACCAGTAAGAAAATGAAAAGACAAACCACAGACTTGGAGCAAATATTTTCAAACTACATATGTGATAAAGGACTTGTATATAAGCAACTCTTACATCTCAATAGTAAGGAAGCAAACAACCTAATCAGAAATGGGCAAAATATGTAAGGAGGCATTTCTCCAAAGAACATATACAAATATCTAACAAGCAAATAAAAAGATGCTCAATTAGCCATTAGGGAAATGTAAATCTAAACCACAATGAGATACTACTCCACACCCACAAGAATAGCTACACAATAAAAAAAAAAAAAACACGGGGAAATAACAAATGTGATGATGAGAAGAAACATATTGCTGATGGTTCATGTAAATCTAATGACTGTAAAATAGTACAGCCCATTAGGAAAACAGTTTGGCAGAAAATTAAACATATAATATGACCAAGTAATTGCACTCATAGGTGTTTAACCAAGAGAAATGAAAACAAATGTCCACCCAAAAATTTGTACACAAATGTTCATAGCAGCTTTGTTCACAATAGTCAAAAGATAGAAACAATCCAAATGTCCATCAATTGATGACTAGATAGACAAAAATATAGTATACCGATGCAATGGAATATCATTCAGCTATAAAAAGTATTTATATATGCCACAACATGAATAAACTTTGGTGACATTATTTAGATGAAACGTTCAGGATAGACAAATGCATAGGCACAGAAAGTAGATGAGTGGTTGCCTGATGCTGGGAGTAGTAATGAAGACTGACTGCAAATGGGCAAGGAAGATGTCACTGACGTGATGAAAATGTTCTAAAATTAGATTATAGTGATGGTTGTACCACCTAATAAATTTATACGATCACTTTAAATATGTGAATATTAGGGCACGTAAATTATCGAAATATGTTTTTAAAACACATTGAGCATCAAGCAAGAAAAAAAGAGAATGTTAATCTCTGACAATTTCTTAGGGATTATACAGAGGTCATTAGGCTGTTTGTTGTTTTTGCTGTGGTGGTGGTGGTGATGGTAAGGGTTGTGGTTTTCCCATGAGAGCCAACGGTCAAGCAACCATTCGGTCTTTTAAAATAAAAATGTTTAAATCAATTAAAAAAGAATGTTACTGGCTTGAAATTTGGAGTAGTCATAGGGGCAAAGAGAAGTGGATGGATTTTTTCAATATTCAGGATATACAAATGACAAAATTTTGTAGTGGTTAGATATATAGGTAAAGGGGAAAGGTGAGGAAGCCTCAGACTGAGTATGGTTAAAGTTGAATTCCTGTTGTCCTCCCAAACTGGCTGTCCTGCCACGCTGCCAATCTCAGTGAATGGATCAAGGTCCTGACACAGAGTTGGCATTCATTGATTCCCTTTGGAGTGAATGAATAGAGCATGATGAATAGAGTAAAAATATGGCTAAACAAGGCAGACACCAGGTCCTGCCAAATAGCCAGTCCTAAACCCACCCTTAAGGTTGGCTCAGCAGATGTCCAGCACAATTTTCTTTTCACTTTTCAAACTATTTTGGAAATCATGAAGTCTCCCTCATCCAGAAGAACACTCACCTTCCTATCAGCCATTCCTTCCCTATAACCTATAGGTACCGAGCAGGTTGGGTGTTTTCAAAAGCCTCTTACCCTGTAAATTTTTACACATGGCAATGGCAGGTGTATGTACAGCCCATATGAGCATGGGGGATGCTTAGTGTTATAGAAAGGGGATTACAGTGGTGCCCAGCTGATGGATCTATGTTCAGTTTGGCTCCAAGCAGGAAGAGAGTCTTCCCACCAAAGAGGTTTATTAACCCGGGGGTCCCCCTCCCAGCCCCTGGAGGGAGAAAACACAGCTGTCACAAACATTGTAAACATTGAGTGATCTGCTTGGCTGGTTTAACTGTTGTTCCCAGGGTTGACAAGCAGAAATACAGAACTAATCATGCTTCTTGAGACAGACGCCAAAACAAGGAAGTGATCTGTTCCAGTCCAAGTTTCCAAGAAATAAAAAACTAGGTGTGGTAAACTAAACAAGCCCCCAGACTCAACCACCCCAGTGAACATTCCCTTCATCATACTGGTTATGAGATAAAGTATAAGTTTTTCAAGCCTTATGATAAATAACCATACTTGTGTATTCTAGTGTTGTGAAAATTATAGTATTTTTCGTAATATATGATCACTCTTATCATTATCACCAGTTCCTTAATAAGAAGAAACCGGAAGTTGATACCAAAATATTCATCCATAATGTTTATAGTTCTTTGTCTTTATAGTTAATGTAAAATAAACTATGTAATTTTTACTACAGTGTGTACTGAAAGGGCAAAGCAAGGTACAAGCAGCTCTAAAAGAGTACTGTATGGGAGTCAATTATGAAAGTGTTTCTTAATTATGAGAGCTGAAGTTTTTCTTTCAGCGACTGAGTTAAAGCACCCAACGAACTTATCATGAGACTTTTGTTAGGTAGTGTACTATGTCCACTCAACGCACATCATTTTAGGCAATCATCTGGTTAAAATGTTTAATTAAGTAAGGAATTCACAAATGCATTCTTCAGAGTTGACATTCAATTAATAGGTTGAATGTCCTTTACAGGGCAGTCAGGAGTATTTAAAGGCTTTTCAACTGTTTTCGAAAGAGAAAGAAAACTTCCTAGCCTAATTTACCCAGCGCCTTGCTCCAGAGGGGCAGACAAAGGGTAAAATCTGGGCAGAGAACACTAGTGGATATGAGAACGAAAGAAAGTGCTGCAAGATCTTGCAGGCAGCTAAGTTGCACCTTCCACTCTACCGCCGAACAAGGTAAGGCAGGGAGAGGGTAGGGACTAGCTGAAAGGTAAACACCAAGTCAGTGACAGATCCTGGGCTGTAAAGTTCGACCGAGATTGAAACAATGTACACTGGGCGTCAGTCACAACGCGAGCTTGCTCCAGCTCTTCCAGCTCTTCCTGAGCGGTAGGCCCATCTGGCCTCACGCTGATCTCCGGGCAGACTCTGTCGCATAGCTGGCACAGATCGTGACGACAGCCCTGCGGCAAAGCAGGAGTGGCCTTCTTCTTCGCCAAGGTTAAGGTGAGTACCACCGCCTTTGGGCCCAGCAGCCCAGGTGGGAGCCTCCGCCGCGCAGTGCGACAGGCCTGAAAGCGAGCGCCTGGGCAAACGTAGCCGTAGCACCCATCCGGGACACCCCTTCCCTGACCCACAGGACGGAACCCACCTGTGCTGGAGGTCGTGACTCCTAAGTCCGCAGAGCGGGCAGAATTCCAAGCAAGGAGAGCCTCGGGAAGCAGCCTTTCACCCGCCTTTTGCTTCCCCCCCACAAAACTGTCGGACTCACGCTCCCCTCCCCCAGCCTGCTCGGGCCCAGCAGAGCCTCCAGGCCCCGCCCCACTCCTTCCGGCCGTGCGGGGTGGGTGCCTCTGGCGTCCCGGACTTCGCCCGGTGTTCGGGCGTGAGTCCCCCATACAGACGGATTGGGCCGGGGCACTCTGCAATTGCCTTTATTTAACAGATTTGAAGCAATGAGCGCAGGGATGACAAAAGACAGGCCCATAAAGCTATACTGCGTGTAAAACCTGGGTCGCCTGCCTGCCATTTCAGTGCTCCTCCCGAGTCCCCCAATACACTTCTATTTATGGTGGTTTATCGAGGTTTACTAGAACTAAAATTCTACTACTTTCTACCACTTTCTTGAGTTTATGGACGTCATATACCTCTCATTACTTTACTCCCATTGATTCAGCGGAGTATCTTAAACCCAGGGACCAGGTATAGTGCTACATACAGTGAGCACTAGAAGGGAATAAGCCATTAGTAGTGAATGCGTAAAAAATTAAGAACAATATATATTACAAAGAAGAACCAAAAACTATACTGAAATAGTATGTGCAATGGAAATCCAAGGCAGAGAAAAAAAAATCGAGAGTAAGAACAACAACAAAAAATCAAATGCATATGTACTGAAAATGGGAAATTGTGCAGTATTTATTCGAGATTAAAAGCATTAACCTAACGTCAAAAAAGCAATAAAGGAATTGATTTGTAGAAGTCAGGATCAACACAAGAGGAAGAAGCCTCTGCACTTTTGCCCTGGAATTCCTTCTGCCATTAATGCTCTTGCTCCCCACTGGTTTATTTGGAAAACTACTCATTATTTTTGACTCAATTTGGATAGTACCTCCTCTGTGAAGCCTTCTCTGTCTTTCCCACATAAGTTTGTATTATTTTTTTCCCTGGCTCCACTGTCTCCAATGGATCTCATACAGGCCTCAAAAGTACCACTTATTCTGGATTATAATTACTCTTTCAGCATGTCTTTGTACTCTAATGAATAAGTAGCTTCTTGAGAGCAAAAACTTGTATTTTTCATACTTGCTCTCCACGCACATAGCCTAACATGTCTATATATTTAATAAATATTTGTTGAACAATTTCTAGAACCAGTGCATAAACAAAAGGACATCCAGAGTGTGAATCTAACATAAAGAGGAAAAACTAAATAAAATGAGAATCTAGATTTAGTCTGGCTGATATTCATTCTTGCAATAAACATTAATGAGTGCCTACTGTATGCCAGGCACTGTACTAAGCTCTGGGTGTAAAATGATAAACAAAGTCCAGATATAGTCCTTGCCCTTATGCCCTTATGTTTACAGAAAAAATGGGAGTTCCCCATGCAGGTGAGAAAATAAAAAATAAAAATTTTTAAGTAGAAAGAACAGCATGATCCCATGTCCTGTAACAGGAAGATCATAACTGTAGCAATTAGAGTTAATGAGCTCAGTAAAGGTAAGCTGAAATCAACACAAAGTATCCAGAAAACTGAAGAGGTTGATTGATACACAACACCTGTTTGAGTCAGCAAAAGAAGCAAGCTTCCTTAATGATAGTAACCAACATTTTATAAAATGTGCACTATATGCTAAACACTGTGCTAAGTGTTTTATAATAAACATTTAAGGTATATCATTATTTGTACTTTAAGGGTAAGGTAACTGAGGCACAGATAGGTTAAGCAATTTCACCAGAATCACATGGCAGTTAAATTTCAGAGCTGAGATTCAAGCCTAGGAAATCTGGCTCCAGACTCTAGGGAGTCTAGTTATTTTACTTTCAATAAAATATAAATTTTACTTGTAATAAAATAAAAGGCAGATATTTTACTGTTTCCCGTGTGTGTCTGTGTGTGTGTGTATCAGGTCACATAGTGTATGGCACAGACTGGAACTTCTTAATATTTTTACAATGAATGAATAGCTGAATAAAAACAATAGGTACAAATGTGCCAGAAAATAAAATAGAAAACAGTAGTATCTGGGTCCTTTTATGTTCCAGCCACACCAGCTGTTCCTAGAACATACCAAACTTGTTCCTGTTCTGTTTCCAAAATATAATCTGCTCATGTATTTGTCCCTGATTGTACTGCTAACATTCAGGATCAGAGTTCGGCAATTTTTTTTTTCTGTGAAGGGTCAGCTAGTAAATATTTTAGGCTTTTTGAGTCACAAGCAGTCTCTTTCTCCAAGTATTAAATTCTGCCTACATAGAGTGAAAGAAGTCACAGACAATACATGAATGAATGAGTATGTAAGTATGTTCCAATAAAAGTTTATTTACAAAAACAGGCAAGAGGCAGGATTTGCCCTGTGGTCAATAATTTTTAGATCATTTCTCTGGGCCAAATTATTACCATCTCTTGCATGGACTACTGTATTAAATGATGTCTGAGAGCCATCATCTTTGACTAACATTTACACCTTGGTTTTTTTTTTATTTTTTATTTTTATTTTTTTTTTTCTGTTACACCTTGGTTTTATCAGCATCTTAATGAAGCTTTAGTGCTCTCTAATCATATTTATAACCTTGAGTTCTTGACATGTGGTTAAAACTGTGTGTTAATTGTGATTTTGAACTTTGATTTGTCAAAGATGGTCTTTAAAAGAACTAACTACTAGTGATCTTTGAAGGAGTTTAAAGAAATAAAGAAGGAAATTTTATAATAAAAGTAGTGACTTTTAGCCAGAAAATAAATATTCTGGACACAGTGCAATGTTGAATTTGGCTGAAGCTTTGGTCTATGACAAGAATTCTGCTATGTACTCTATAGAGAAACAAATAAATGCTAAAAATTTTCAGAAATCAGCTAGACCATGTAAAATTTTCCTCACCTACTCATGAACAAAAATTTGGTAAAGCTTAAGGGTATATTCATTTGTGTCTGGGGATGTGAACACTTCTGACTCGGGATATGAATGTTTCTGACTCTGAACAGAAATGTGATTCAGCATAAACTCAGTAACCTGTACAATTAATTTTGTGGTGAAGAAGTATTAGTTAGGACTCATTTGTTAAAAGTTACCAAAACCTACCTGAAACTAACAAGCAAAAGAGAGAAATGTATGGGAAGATAATAAGGTGTTTCACAGAACTCAAGAAGGACTGGAACAACCAAAACTTTTTAAAAAGCAAGATACAGTTAGGTCTCAAGAATGGTCAAAACCAAGGAATCGAATGACATTGACGGTATCATTCTTTTATCCCTATTCTTCCCTGAACATTTATCTGGTCTGTCTCTCTCTTTCTCTCTCTCTCTCTCTCTCTCTCTCTCTGTCTCTCTCTCTCCCTCCCTACTCACTCTCTACCTTCCTTTCCTCCCCTCTCCTCTCAAGCTTTATTTGTTTCCTAAGTCCATGTAACAGTAGATATGGTTACTGATACCTTCCTAGATTTTCATATTACAGCTTCAGCCACTGAAGAGAGACACTAAGCCAGATCAGGTCCTATGAAAAGCAGATGCCGAGACAGAGTTACAAATCTAGAGATCTACCACGGGTAATGGCTGACAAGATAAAGAGGAGATTACAGCACAGTTCTCTGGAAGTCTCAACCACCCCAACTAGGAGCTCCAGAGCAGAGATTGCTGATTACAGGAATCCTATGTTAGGCAGAAACAGCCCTAGTACACCTCTTGTGCTCAGAGATTGGCTGGAGATGCCTGGAAAGGGAATGGTCTTGGATCAAATGATGCAAAAATATCTCAAAAGTGCTCCAGCTGGAGACTGTTAGCTGACTCCACTCCTCATAGTAGGTTTTCTCTTGAAAGATCTGAGAGGCACTTCCTGGTTGTCATAGGCCTTTATGGTCCCATCTCCATAAATCTGTGAGGGATTTATTTGCCAAGTTTGAGTCTGGTGGTCATCCAAGTACAATCAACTGTAGCTAGGTAAGTGATGTAACATATAACAAAGGATAATTTTTTTCAGTTTGCCTGGGCTGAGGAATTCTCTGGGATGTGCTAAAACCACAACAGTCCTGGGCAAACTAGGATAGTTAGTTATTTTAGTAGTACCCATGTTAATAGGGGTGGAAAAGTTAAAACCATCCAATAATATCCTACATATACACAATTGTACTTTACTGCATTTTATGGAGGAAATTCTATATGTCGTGGTTTTATTGGATTAGGAGATTTTATAAACGTCTCAGGAAACTTCCCTTGAAGATGACAAAGGTTTCATACTTTATTTCTTCCATGCTGACTCTCTTGTGAATTTGTACATTCTTCCTCCATCTAGACTGCTCCTCTCACTGGAACCTCCCTCCCCTCACCCTTGTCATCACTGTTAGAAATGTTTCTTACCCGTTGCTCTGGTTTCCACATGGAATTATTTCTCTAAAATAAGATTAAATCATATAAAGAATGCCAAGCACCTATCTTAGGACATGACATAAAACAGGGGCTTGTGTCAGTCAGGTTCTTAGCTACATGCAACAGAAGCTGAATCTGACTGATTTAAGCAGAAAAAAAAAAAAGTTATGTTGGGAATGACACTAGACTAGCACTCCTGCCATTAGAAAAATCATGAAGCTGCATATAATATGCAAGGAAACTGTTTAAAGATATTGAGCAATAGTCAGCACATGATTATGATCCCCAGGAAAAGAGAAACTCACAAATTAAGCCCCAAGACTGCCTCAGCTCTTTTCCTGCTGACAATTTTCTGATCCCAGCATCAAGAGCTGGATTCCAAGCTGAGATTTCAGTCTCATTGAATGGAGGAGGCAAAGATCAGAATTCAGGGTAGTTGAAGCAGCTGAAATGTATGAAGCAACGCATTAGAGAAGACAATCTGTGCAGATGTTGGGGTTTCCAGCAAAACTTTAAAAAGAGGAGGAGTTATAGAACTTCTTGATTTCA